AGGATCAGGGCCACCTTTAAGCTAAGATAGGTTAATCTTTTGAAACTGCTCATAAGTTGTCTCATGTTGTTATAGATTTTCTTGTGTCTGCTATTATTGTTGTATTAAATTAGACACCATCTGACATACTCTAGCTAAATCATATTGCGTCATAGGAGCATTAGGAGCATTTTCAATATTAATTTGCTCATCTCGAACATTGGTGATTTCAGATTCATCCTTTTTCCAATATTAATTTGCTCATCTCTAACATTGGTGATTTCATATTCATCTCTTCTCTTATAGTTCTTTTTCTTCGACCAGCAAAGTTTGCCAATGTCTCATTTTTCCCACTTATTCTCACCAAAATTAGTGCCAACAAAAATAGTTCGTAAATGATTAAAATGAAATAAACAAATCTTATTAACGTAAATGTTAAGAATACTTAAGTTTTACACTAACTATAACTTGGTTCTTTTTTTCTTGGATCTTAAACTTTGGTTTTGATACTACTTTATGTCACGTTTCGAGGTTGAGACATAACATAGTCATATTACTTCGAAGTCAAACTCCAAAGCAATACGAAGCTTATTCTGTAACCATTAAAAAATTCTCAAATAAAATAAAGTTCTCAAGGAGTTTTAATATTTGTAAAATAATTAAATAACATGTTTTCAAACCATCAATGTCAAGTATTACAACTAAAAAAAAATAATACCTCATAAAATCCTATTCTCTAAGCAGTTCTCTAATGCTCATTTTTCTAGCTCCTCACAAGATTAATCATACTTATCATTCATATCATCTATAAAAGAAAAAATAAAAAATGAGCAAATCATAGCTCAATAAGTATAGGCTCACACACCTTATCAGATAAAATATTATTTTCATACATATTATATAGATCATTTCAAAAACAATTCAAAAATCAACATTTTATTAAACATTTCATAGATCATAATTCAATATCTAAATATGTCAATTCCTTAATTATAAATCATAAATCACGATCAAATACATATTTCATATAAATCATGGATCAATCTTTAAAATCATCATAAATCATTATCATCATAAATCATCATTATTATTCATTTATCGTTAGCTACGGTTATTGTTATAACAAATGACATTGGTTGTATCGACAATTTCATCTTCATGATCATTGCTAACTATTATAACCCATTAACCAAAGCCGTACGCTAACTACTATAATTCATTAGTAGGGCCATATGATCATGTTTATGTTAATTACTATTACCATTTAGCCAGAGTCATAAAACTAATTATGGTGTCGATGATCCCACTTCTTAGGAATGTAAAAACGTAGCTATTATAAAATCATATTTAAACAAAAATTAATTTTTTTTATTCATAAGCATAATTCATCGTTTATATAGAGAAATGCAAAATAATTAAATGCAAAATAATTATATGCTTGATTCTATTTTCATATATCGAAAATAATGAAATAAAACCTTCATTCATTTAGAAACATACTTACATATATAGATTCAAAAACAAGCAAAGTATGTCAGATTTTACTTACTTCCTTTCGATTCACCATTTAATTTTTCTGTCCAAATAATTAATGGGCTATTTAAGATAATTTCAACATAACAGTTTGAAATATCCAAAAAAAAAATTGAGACGCATTAATACTAAGATCAATTATACCAAAAACAATTAAGTTAAATAAGAGTTAACTCAACTAATTAATACTAATAGCCTAAACTTCTTTCATTAAAATAATCATATCTCAAGATATCCATTTCGAAATTAAGATTTTTTTAATGCGTTAGAAACTAGACTCGATAAGCTTTCTAACCATATATGGCCTATCTCATGATTTCTTGTAGATTAATTATAATAATTTTTGCAACATGTCATATACTACTACTAGACAACATGTATACCTTTAATAAAAATTACATATTTATTCATAGGAGACTTAGAATTCAGTTTTTGCTTATTTTGTCGGAAAACAGACTTAGTGAACTTTTCAAAATTGGATGGCTCAATACATAATTCCTTATATAAAAATTAAAAGGAATTTTGTAATTCCTCGCTACTACTATTACTAGGTAGCCTGCACATCTTTAAGTAAAAATTAAATTACTCTTCATAGAAAACTCAAAATTGACTTCTGTTTATTCTATTGGAAAGTAAATTCAACAAGCTTTCCAATACTATATAATAATCATTGCAGTGTTTTATCCCTTAATATAGAATATTACCTTAATCCTTCATTACAAGCACCAAGGTTCATACGAAATAGAAAATTTCTTTTCTAATCCTATCAAATTTCTATTTCCTATTTTTACAGCAATAAAATCATATTACTAAACTTTCTCAACACTTTATTAGACCCTAATTAAACTCTAAATGATTTGCCCAAACTAATCTTGAAGATGGATAATGGATTTCCTAAAATTTTAGATTTCTCGATTACAAATTATATCTCAAGACTTAACAATCAATATTATTTCTCTAAAATTAAAGGAAATTATTTACTTACCCCTAACAAAAAATTCTCTTTGTAGATTTTGTTGTTATCATTTATTTAGAATCTTTCGATTTGTCTTTTCTGTATAAGAAAGAGAGGAGAATAAACTTTTTTTTCTCGATCAATTGTCAGCCAAATAAATTGTAGATGTTAACCTTATTAAAAGTTGAGTTACTTATCAATAGATCATATGCATTTCTCATTTTTTATTAAAGAGTCTTTCCACTTATAAAAATACTTGAAATAGCCTTTTTTTTTTATGGGTATTATATTTTATATTCAGGTTGTGTCTCTTCATTTACTATCAATTGATTTTAAGTTAGATGCTTAATAATTTTAAGTAAAATTATAAGAGAATAGAAGCATGATAAAGAAAGAACTAAAATAAATTACATATGGTTAACTCGTGGAAATTAATTAAGGTGATGGATTTATTTTACAAGTTGAGATTCAAAAAAATTAACATGAACCCAAAGATTAAAAACCAAAAAATTAATTAATTACCTGGTCGAGTGAGGCAATATTAAGCTGGTGCTTCTCCTATCATAAGAGAGTTTTGGTCAAATTTGTGAAAGAAGGAAAATTAAGATCTCCTTGCAAAATTCGTCAGGAAAACAGCAAAATCAGATCTCTCTTGCAAAACCCTCTATGAGAAGAGAATGAATTATGAAGCAGATGAATTATTAATTGGGTAAGTCCGTGGAAGTCCTCTGCAGGAAACTAAAATATTATAAACTGCCCAACTTGTTTATTAATTTGTTTGCTTTGTTTGACAAATTCAATGAGGTTTTTATATATTTAACTAGTTTTCCTGTCTTGGTCAAACGTTTCACACTACGAAGAAAAAAAATTTTGATTTCCTTTTAAGGTCGACATAGTGGCAAACGTTTTAAGAATTCTAGGGTTTGGTACACTTTTTCTATATACTTGTTTGGACGTTGGTGATTTGAATTTATGGGGTATGGGGCTATATTAATATTCCTTTTACTTTTTTTTTTGTGAATATTCTTTTACTCCTTTTACTCTCTCCACTAACGTATCTTTTAGTGGGTTATTGACAATTGAAAGCCCACAATTACAGTCAATTTAACCATGTGAAAATTCCAGAAAGGAAAGGATGCCATGCATTGTTTTTTAGGTTTTGCTAACAAGTGATCTATAAGCATTCTTTTAAGGTTAATTAACATACTTTCTATAGTAATATCTTTGTATTTTAATAGAGTAATAGATAGTTAATATAATAATTTTAATGTGAAAAAATATATATTTTTTAATATAATAACTTTAAAATGAGTACGTATGTGTCATAGAAAAAAAAAACTTTAGTGATTTTCATATATGAAAACTTGATTACGACAAGGTATTTTTAAAGGAACGGCCAAAACCTTATGATTCCTTAATTGTTGCTCGTTGTTTGGACTTGAAAAGGCTTGATAAATCTTTAATGAATCGATCATCGAGACTTATTGCTCCAAGTAAACATTGAAGACTTGAGAATCTTTATAGAGCTAAGGTTTCTCTTCATTGGAATTGGTTAACAATTGAGTTTGTGATTCCTTTATGTAGGAGTGACTTTTGGTTTTGGTAACCCTAAATGTGTGGTATAGGGATAATGGTTTTGGGCCAAATTAGTTACAATATAATTGGACTTTAAATGAAGTTAACCCAAATAATTGTATTTAACCAATTAAATATTTAACTTAATTAATAAAAAAATATTTTTTTTCAAAATTTCTTCATGAGCATTTTTAAGATTAATAATAGAAGAATTTACCCCACTTCGTTGGAGTGATAATTTTATTCAATATAATAGATATTTACAAAATAATACTTCAGGTGAATACATCACTAAATTCATTCATTCAAAACTCAATTAATGCATAAATTAAAAATTAAAACTTAATTTCTAATGATACAACCAAGAATTTATACTTTTACAACATATTCTAACAAAAATAAAATAAAACTAAAATATAACAATTTAAATTTGATTTATAGTTATTTATACGGTCCAATAGATATATATTAAACTTAAATTACACTAATAACTAAGTATATTTGTCCAGAATTAATTAGGTTCGCAGATATCATGCACCCATGAAAATAAATTTATATGAACAATTAGATTCATATAATTTAAATTTGATTCATGGTTATTTATATTACTCGGTGGATATAAATTTAGATTCAAAATATTAAATTTAAGTGACATTAAACATGAAGTACATTCATTCACAATAAATTAAGTTCAAAGTTAGAACTATTCCAATACCATATTCCTATGAAATAATCAATCCAAAGAGGAAACCATGCCACGATTAAAGATTCTAATTAAGATTGTGCTCAAAATGAAAGGAAAATAAGAAATAATTAAACACTTCACCAGGCCTAGTGGGGTGATATGGCACCAGCCACCAGTACTCCTTCGATGGATTGTGGATTTAAATCAGGAAAAGTAAAGGCAATAAGATACCTACCAAAATCTCCTATAAAAGAATCTCCTATCAATCAGCTAGATCGACGAGCAGGATAATGTTCTAAGAAGTTGATCATATGAATGAAATAGAGTTTAAAATAAGGAGTTAAAAATAAAGACATTAGTAATTAATCTCCAAAAGCATAAATGAAAAATGAATCATTGAAGAATGGATTGAAAAAAAATGAGATAATCAAGGAAATTAATTAACCATCCCATATAATTAGAATCTACTTGGTTTAAAATTTACAACAAAATCCAAATTCCATTACTTACAAAAGAAGGAAACAAGTTTTGAATTAAGTTCATCCTACCCTACATTGACACCCATACCAATAAGGTGATTTTGCACATGGAGCGGAGCTCCACCAAAAAATGGCCGTTCGATTGAGTTCCATCAGCGAGTGGGGTTTTGCTGTCATTGATAATATTAAGAACCTGAATTTAAAAAAAAGAAAAAAAGGAAAAGAGCAATTATTGAGTGGGTTCCATGAAAAAACAAGCTGATACTTAATATTTGCATTTTCAAAAACTAGCGAAGAACTTTACCAGTGAGAGAGCAGTCAAAGTTCATTTATTCAAAAAGGTCTTCCCCCTAATCTCATTATCTAATGAGAAACAAAGGGTGAAAGGACATGCTTAGCTTGAGGGTGATCCCATTCCAATGATTCCCACCATTCACTCGGCCTAACATTGATTAGTTGTAGAGAAGGAGGAGGAGATGGTTGCCCATTTTCAAGCGGGGGAAGAGCCAACGGGATCCTCTTTAGTTCCGGACAGTCAATTATTTGAAGATCTTGAAGAGAACGAATCACAGATCCACCACCACAAATGCTTTTCAGTGCTGGTAGGTCTCTCATAGCCAATTTCTTTAATTTGGGTAGAATAAATGTCGTTCCTTCTCCTTTGTGATTTTCTTCTTCTTCTGATGCTATTATTTCCTCCATTTCCCAACATGAATGCACTTCAATATACTCTAAGTTTTGGAGGCCTTGCAGCAGCTCAACTGGAAACAACTTCTTAATCTTTGAACAATTATCCATATACAACAGTTTAAGAGAAGAGAAGATGGCAAGTGGTGTTGGAGCATGAGATGTCCATTCAACCGCTACTGATCCTACTTTCACAAGTTCACTCAAGTTGCCCAAATTCAAAAGCCTAAGCAGCTCAAGGTTGGGAAGTCCGTTTAAAGACGATAATGACAAGTCAACCACACAATCTATCCCTTCACAGTTCCAAATATTACAACTCTTCAACTCAGTTGCTTTATGAAAGCAAGGAATATTGCTTAAACAGTTGAAATCATCACTCTTCTCGATACATAAAACACTGAGACCATTTGGGAGTTCTATGTGATCCATTTTCTCCATCTCACAATTCACAAAAGTTATCCCGTTCCAAAATTGCTTTAAACTTGAGACCACCGAATACAGAGAAAATGACAACTCAGATGTTCCTACTTGCAAATAAAAATATGTAGGCCATTTACCTTGTATAGACTTTGCATATTCCTCAAACTCTTGGATGTCACAAAATGAACATTCAAGTATCTCAAGCTTCCTCAATTTGCCTACTTCTTCTCCTCTTAAATGCTTATTTAATATTAAGCACTGGAGATGAGAAAGCGTCGGCAATATTCCAACTGGTACCTCCTTTAGAAACCTTGACCAGACACGAAGATATGTTAGGCTTTTCTAACAATTCTATGCCATGAGGAACCTTTTGTATTGCAGTCATAAAAAGGTCCAGCTTTCTCAGTGCTCTGAGCTCTGCCAACGAAGGCACATATTGTAACATCTCACAATGAGCTAGTATCAATGCATTGAGATTTTTCAAGTTTGAGATTGAATTGGGTAGATCCTTAATCAAAGTACCAGAAAGATTTAGTACTTTAAGCCCAGGCATGTGCTTAAAGAAAGATTCTGGAATACCTTTTAAATCCCAATTTTCTTGCAGTAACAAGGTTGATAAATGAGGGCATCGGGGTGACATCTGCAGAAGAATTTTTGAATATTGTGATTTCATTAAAGAAACCTTCTCAAGATCTACTGTCCATTCATGCTCACTTGGTATTTCCTTCAATTCCCCACCAGCTTTTACCATGTATTGACTACATACAATATACAATGCCATGTCTCTTAAAACATCATGCATCTGAACGCATTCTCCCAAGCCTGAATAATGTCCTGCCCTCTCTAACAAGCAATTATTTTCAAGCTTATTTAAAATGCTATGGCCTCTGTCATGCATTGCTTCTCTGGTCCCAAAGTCGTTGAGGAGTCCCTCGTCTATCCAACTTTCAATCAATCTTGCTTTTTGAATTTTATGATCTTCAGGATACAAGGAGCAATATAAGAAACAATTTTGGATTTTTGAATCTCCCAAACGGTCGTAACTAAACTTCAAATGCTCAAATATTTCAGTGTCCAATCCTTTCACACTTTTCACTCGCTCACATAATTCATTTAGTGCATTCCTCCACTCACAAAGATCTTCTACCCCCTTCATGCCACCAGCTATGGTTACAATGGCAAGCGGTAAACCACCACATTGCTCAACAATTTTGCTGACAATGTCTCCAACATTTTTGTTTTGAAGAACATTATGCCCCACATGATCTAAGAATAGGCTCATGGACTCTTCTTTTGAAAGAGGCTTCACTTTGACCACTTTACAACTCATAGATTTGCAAACCTCAATAGATCTGGAAGTGAGTACCATTTTCTTCCCCTGACCTAATGTTGGTTCAGGGATTCCTACATCCAGTAAAGAAAACCGTTTCCAAACATCATCTAAGATCAAAACATATCTCTTTCCCTCCAAAATATCCTTCAATGCTGTTGCTCGTTCCAATTCACCTTTTGGAAGAGATTGTTTCAAAGAATCTGCAATATCTTCTTGCAATTGGAATATATTCAATTCCTTCGAAATGGTGACCCATATCACTTTTTCAAACTGTTCACTTTCTTTCAACAGTTGATTATTGATATGCTTCATGATGGTAGTTTTTCCTATTCCACCCATTCCACACACTCCAATCATTCCAACCTCATCACCCATCAGGTACTCCCAAATTCGTTCTTTTACATCAATTTCACCTTCTAGATTTGGCATTGGTAATGTCACCCCGGAGACTGGAGGACCATCAACTGCCACGCCTTCAGGGAAATAGCCTTGTTGGTAAATTCTCTCGACTTCTTCAATCTTTTGGCAAACCAGTTTTCCTAGGTGAGCACGTGAGAAGTATGACACATCCCCAAACTTTCCTTGAATTTTTCCCACTTCAGTGTTTTTCTTTTGTACATCTTCAAACCAGTTCTCCACTTCTTTCTTCATCCTTTTTCCGCAACGAATCTCCGCTTCCTTTCTTAATTCAAGGTCTTGCTTTCGAACATTTAGCTCGTCCAGTTTTCTTTTAAGATTATTCATATTTCCTTCAAGTTTCCGGTGATGATCTGTGTAACTCTTGATTTGACCCCCAATGTACTTTAACACTTCAAACATTGGCCCTACAAACTCCATAAATATAAAGCCTTGTCCCTATATAGTTTAAAAAACCAACGTATATTATATCTCCATATAAGCTATTACTTGTACTAAAATGTTACTAAATCTCAAAATATATTTTACCAAAAAAACAAAAATAAAAATAATGTTTTTAAAAACATTATTAGAAACAAAAGGTAATCTGTAGATCGGATGAATGCATATATATACTATTTATGTCCCTTAGAGAAACATCACAAAATTTTGAATGTCTTGCCTATATATGGTTCCTAGTTTTGATCATTACATCATTAGTAAAAGGAGAAAATTAATTTTCCAAAATAATAAACAGCAAAGACCCAAGCAAATATTAATAGTTTTGAGCAGTTCATGGATTAATAGAATTTAAACCTAATTGTAAGGAATATTATATATCTTTCTGATAATCAAAATAGGAAAGCTTGTTCTTTAATTTCTACTACCATACAGTATTTTTTTCATCCTAATCCAGACAATACAGAAGCATGAAACTGAAGAAACCAAAATGTATATATGTAGAACTTGTGGAAAGATGATGAATTTATATTACAAGGAATGTTTTATGTTTTTAAAATATTATTAAAAATAATTTTTTTTGTTTTCATCGTCTATGAGAATAATATTTACTTGTCTAAAACTATTTATATGCACAGATGAATGTATATTTACTATTTATATATAGTATTCGTGTTTCTGCCTTAGAGAACCATTCCACAAAGAGATTTAAGAAATAATTGCAAGAATAAATTCAGAGAGTATAGAATGGCATTAAAAATACCTGCAGATTTCTTCTTCAAATTATTTGGAAAAGATGAAGAACAGAGGTCAAGTAGATGAACCACAAATTTTTTGTGGAAAGTAGCTGAAATATAAAAGTGGGAAAATCAGTAGTGTTATAAAGGGGGAAATCTTATGTGCTAAGTTTTCGGAATTATCACTAATTTTTTACTCACTATATATGTTTATTTTCAGCTAAACTATTAGAGAACAGAAGCATGATAAAGAAAGAACTAAAATAAATTGTATATGGTTGACTTGTGGAAATTAATTAAGATGATGGATTTATTTTATAAAGTGAGATTCAAAAAAATTAACATGAACCCAAATATTAAAAACCATAAAATTAATTAATTACCTGGTCAAGTGGGGCAATATTAAGCTGGCGCTGCTCCTATCCTATGAGGGTTTTGCTCAAATTTGTGAAAGAAGGAATATTAAGATCTCCTTTCAAAATTCATCATGAAAGCAGCAAAATCAGATCTCTGTCCTTGCAAAATCCTCTATGAGAAGAGAATGAATCATGAAGCAAATGAATTATTAAATGCGTAAGTCAATGGAAGTCCTCTGCAGGAAACTAAAATATTATCAAATGCCCAACTTGTTTCTTAATTTTGTTTTCTTTAATTGTTTGACAAATTCAATGAGGTTTGTCAATGCAACAAAGTCATTGCTATGGTTTCCAGGGTAACTTCCATGAAGCCTGCTACAAAATGAAGGAAATAATGTGAACGGAAGAAAAACATGGGAGGAGTGAGTGATAAGGACTGAGTTATTATTATTATTATTATTATTATGGAAGCTAGAATGACAGCTAAAAGTTGTTAGCTCAGTCCTATTAAAAAGTACGCATTCTAACTATAAAAATTTGTTTGATCATTGACTTCCCCAATCAATCAGCTAGACTGAGATGTAGGATAAAAAAAAAAAAAGATTTGTTCATCCCTGAATGAGTAGCTGAAACTCATGATTCTACCAAGGTGTAAATTGATTTCCCTAAAATTGTAAGTACTATTATTAAAATTTGCCTGTTTGAAATGATTGGTTTTCATTTCAATATGCCCAACAAATTAAGTTCCTTTCTCTTTTTAGTTTTCTCAAGAAATGTGGAATATAACATCAATTGATGAAGTTAAATATATACCAAGTCATGATTTTGAAGTGAAATTTTAAGAGCACAATCAAGGGGTCTTCACAAAAATCAAAAAATGGAATTTGCTTGGGACTTCAAACAGGAAAGCAGAAATAATATAAACTGTTCAAGAATTTGCGATGGACTCCAAAATGGAATTATCAAGCAAATAATCACATATAAACTGCTTAATGTGCCTTTCAAGTACAAATTAAAGCTAACTACTGAAATGAGCAAGCATTAGATGAAGTTCATCCAAGAAGACAGATTGAAGGAAGGTCAGTAACTGATCTTTGAGAATATTTATACCAGACTCAGTATTTAATCCTTGTCCAAAACTCTTTTCAAGCCTGTTCACAGTAATTTCTTTTCTCTTTTGTGAATACACTGTGAAAACTAACATATACCTTCAAATATATCAGCTTCAGAGTAGTTCTTGCAAATAGGAAACCCAATTGGTTCGGCGGGGACAATGCACTCTCGCTACAGATGGTATGACATGCATTGTGAGTGATCCAGACAAAATATGAAGAACTCCAGGCTTTTGCTGGGGATGACTTGGTAGATCAGCATATTCTCCTGCAACAATCTAACGAAGAAGCTTTACAAGATTACATTTCGTAGCTTAAAAGGACAAGAGATTATCGTTCTTGATTATGGAGGGATTTGAAGATCTTATCCTCCCAGATAAGCTCTTGGAGTTAATAATGGCGCTGGTATGTGGAACTACAAAAAGAAGATCTGTCTATCTCTTATTGCTTTCATGGAATTAATTTCTTTTGTCTCCTCGAACCCAATGCTAATCCATTTGTGAAGAATATTGGAAGAATAGTGATTGAAGAACACAAAATCTAAAGAGAATGCTACATACTTTGAAATCATGAAGTATATTTTTTTTAGAGATAAAAGCAAGTTTTATTAAAATGAAAAAAGAGCAGTATAAAATCATCATGGAATTATCTACCAAATGCTTAAATCTAACTCGATCCCCTACTATGTCCCGTGATTATAAAAAAATCCATTGAAGACGAAACAAAGTTCTTTAGCCACATTTTAACAAACACCTCTCAAGCATGACTATTCAAGTGGCTAAAATAAGTATCGAAGACGGAAGATTCCATCCCAAATTGACAACCAATCTCAATAACCCATTTCACAAGTTACTTCCGTCAAAAGTTTAATGCAACCCACAAAGAAGAACCGAAAAATAGAAAAAAGGAGCATAAACAGCAAGATAATAAACCATCAACAACAAGCAATAAGATTTTGAGGTATGTTACCATTCATTTTTGCAAACTGGTCAGCTAAAGAATTAGTCTCCGAAATTTAGAGTGGACAGATATATTTTTCTTTGGGAAAACCTCAAACCTGAATATTCAAGGAATTTTGTCATATTTTTTATCCAAGATAATCCATTGGCAGAGTCATTCTCAATTATCAAAGAGACTAGGCATTATATTCATCAAGAATTTATCCAAGAAGAAAAAATATATAAATATTTAACAATAATGAAGATAGAAAATAGTATATATTTTCCAAAAAAATTCACATTTGAACTTATCTGCTAAATTTTTTTCATAAACTAGTTTAGATAAAAAAATATATATACAGCAGGACTGTATTTTGGCCTGAAAATGAAGGTATCGAAGTGATTTAAGACTTGAGGAAAGGAAATATTAGGTGAGAGATATCAAGTTTGATAGAAGAAAACACGTGGCTCTTTGTGTACTTAGTTTGAAAAGTAGGTAGCATTTCCCATGGAGGCAAAGAAACCAGATTCATTTATACTTCCTCTGCTAACAAAAGTCTCTGACACCTTGGGCTCAGGGAAATTTGGACATCAAACACAAAATTCCACCTGTTTGAGCCTCCTATCTGCTCTTAACGTAAAAAAAATTCACTTTCCTAGGACATAAATTGTGAACAGTAATTTAATATCCAAGACAACGCCACAAGTCATGAATGATGTTTAAAATATAGTTTAAAGTAAGGAGTAAAACAAATACTTTTGTAATTAATCTCCAAAAGCATAAATAAAAAACGAAGCATTGAAGAATGGATTTAAAAAAAAAAAAAGAGATAACCAAGGAAATTAATCAACATTCCCATATAATTAGAAACTACTTGGTTTAGTTTAAAATTTACAGCATAAAGCCAATAACATGACATAGAAATTAAAGAAACAAGTTTTGAATTAAGTGCATCAATCAAGCAACGTCCTACATTGACAACCATATCAATAGGGTGGATTTGCACATGGAGCAGAGCTCCACCAAGAAATGTCCTATCCATTAAGCTCCATCAGCAAGTGGGATTTTGCTGCCATTGATAATATTGAGAACCTGAATTTCTTTTTCTTTAAAAAAAATAAAAAAGAAAAGAGCAATTATTTAGTGGGTTCCCTTGAAAAGAAGCTGAATATGGATGAAAAGAAGCCGAGAATTAATATTTACAGTTTCAAAAAGGAACAAAAACTTTACCAGTAAGAGCAGTCAAAGTTCAGTTATTCAAAAAGGTATTCTCATCCTATTAGCATCCAATAATTAAGAAACAAAGGGTGAAAGGACATGCTTAGCTTGAGGGTGATCCCATTTCAATGATTCCCACCATTCACTCGGCCTCACATTGATTAGTTGTAGAGAAGGAGGAGATGGTTGCCCATTTTCAAGCAGGGGAAGAGCCAAAGGTATCCTCTTTAGTTCCGGACAGTCTATTATTTGAAGATGTTGGAGAGAATGAATCATGGCCCCACCACCACAAATGCTTTTCAGTGCTGGTAAGTGGCTCAAGACCAATTCCTTTAATTTGGGAAGAATAAATGTCGTTCCTTCTCCTTTGTGATTTTCTTCTTCTTCTGATGCTATTATTTCCTCCATTTTCCTACATGAACGCACTTCAATGTACTCTAAGTTTTGGAGGCCTTCCAGCAGCTCAACTGGAAACAACTTCTTAATCTTTGAACAATTATGCAGATACAAAAATTTAAGAGAAGAGAATATGGCACGTGGCGTTGGAGCATGAGATTTCGATTCAACCGCTACTGATCCTACTCTCACAAGTTCACTCAAGTTGCCCAAATTCCCAAGCCTAAGCTCCTCAATGTTTTGAAGTGCGTTTAAAGACAATAATGATAAGTCAACCACACAATCTATTACTTCACACTCCCCAATATAACAACTCTTCAACTCAGTTACTTTCTGAAACAAAGGAATATTGCTTAAACATTTGAAATCATCACTCTTACTAATTCGTAAATCACTAAGACCATGTGGGAGCTCTATGTGATCTATTCTCTCCATCTCACAATTCACAAAAGCTACCCCATTCTGAAATTGCTTTAAAGTTGGGATCCAATACCGACAAGATGACAACTCAGATGCTCCTACTTGAAAATAGAAATGTGTAGGCCATTTACCTGGAATGGACTTTGCATATTCCTCAAAATCTTGGATGTCACAAAATGAACATTCAAGCATCTCAAGCTTCCTCAATTTGCCTACTTCTTCTCCTCTTAAATGCTTATTTAACATTAAGCACTGGAGATGAGAAAGCATCGGCAATATTCCAACCGGTAGCTCCTTTAGAAACCTTGACCAGACACGAAGATATGTTAGGTTTTCCAACAATTCTAAACCTTGAGGAACCATTTGTATTTCAGTCTCATAAAGGTCCAGCTTTCTCAATGCTGTGAGTTCTGCTAACGAAGGTACATATCGTAACTTCACACAATGAGCTAGTATCAATGCATTGAGATTTTTCAAGTTTGAGATTGAACTGGGTAGATCCGTAATCAAAGTACCAGAAAGATTTAGTACTTTGAGCCCAGGCATATGCTTAAAGAAAGATTCTGGAATATCTTTTAAACCAAAAATTCCTTGCAGTAACAACGTTGATAAATGAGGGCATCAAGGTGACATGTGAGGAAGAAATTTTGAATATTGTGAATTCATCAAAGAAACCTTCTCAAGATCTACTGTCCATTCATGCTCACTTGGTATTTCCTTCAATTGCTCACCAGCTTTTACCATGTACTGACTACGTACAATATAAAATGCCATGTCTCTCAAAACATCATGCATCTTAACGCAATCCCCAAAATCTTCAGTCTCTAACAAGCAATTATTTTCAAGCTTATTTAAAATGCTATTGCCTCTGTCATGCATCGCTTGTCTGGTCCCTAAGCCATCAAGGAGTCCCTCATCTATCCAACTTTCAATTAATCCCACTTTTCAATTCTATAATCTTCAGGGTAGAAGGAGCAATATAAGAAACAATTTTGGATTTGTGAATCTCCCAAACGGTCATAACTAAACTTCAAATGGTCAAATATTTCGGTGTCCAATCCTTTCACACTTTTCACTCGCTCACATAATTCATTTAGTGCATTCCTCCACTCACAAGGATCATCTACCCCCTTCATGCTACACGCTATTGTTACAATGGCAAGCGGTAAACCACCACATTGCTCAACAATTTTGCTGACAATGTCTTCAAGATTCTGAATTTGGAGAACACTGTGCCCCACACGATCTAAGAATAAATTCATAGACTCTTCTTTTGAAAGAGGTTGCACTTTGACCACCTCACAGCCCATAGATTTACAAACCTCAATCGATCTACTAGTGATTACTACTTTCCTCCCCTGACCTAATGTTGGTTCAGGGATTCCTACATCCAGTAGAGAAAACCGTTTCCAAACATCATCTAAGATCAAAACATATCTCTTTCCCTCCAAAATATCCTTCAATGCTGCAGCTCGTTTCAATTCACCTTCTGGAAGATATTCATTGAAAGAATCTGCAATTTGTTTTTGTAATTGGAAAATATCGACTTCTTTCGAAACGGTGACCCATATCACTTTTTCAAACTGATCACTTTCCTTCAACAGTTGATTATTGACATGTTTCATGATGGTAGTTTTTCCTATTCCACCCATTCCACACACTCCTATCATTCCAACCTCATCCCCCATCAGATACTCCCAAATTCGTTCTTTTACATCAATTTCACCTTCTAGATTTGGAATAGGTAATGCCAATCCGGATCCGGAGGCTGAAGGGCCATCAACTGCTACACCTTTAGGGAAATTGCCTTGTTGGTAAATTCTCTCGACTTCTGCAATCTGTCGGCAAACAAGTTTTCCTAGGAGAGCACGTGAGAAGTATGACGCATCCCCAAACTTTTCTTGAATTTTTCCCACTTCAGTGTTTTTCTTTTGTACATCTTCAAACCAGTTCTCCACTTCTTTCTTCATCCTTTTTCCGTAACGAATCTCCGTTTCCTTTCTTAATTCAAGGTCTTGCTTTCGAACATTTAGCTCATCCAGTTTTCTTTTAAGATTATTCATATTTCCTTCAAGTTTCCGGTGATGATCTGTGTAACTCTTGATTTGACCCCCAATGTACTTTAACACTTCAAACATTGGCCCTACAAACTCCATAAATATAAAGCCTTGTCCCTATATAGTTTAAAAAACCAACGTATATTATATCTCCATTAAAAGCTACTACTTGTACTAAAATGTTACCATATCTCAAAATATATTATACCAAAAAACAAAAGTAAAAATAATGTTTTTGAAAGCATTATTGGGAACAAAAGGTAATCTGTACATCAGATGAATGCATATAAATACTATTTATGTCCCTTAGAGAACCATCACAAATTTGAATGCCTTGCCCATATATGGTTCCTAGTTTTGATCATTCCATCATTAATAGGAGGAGAAAAAATTTTCCATAATAATAAACAGCAAAGACCCTAGCAAATATATATTAATAGTTTTGAGCAGTCTTAAAAGATTTCAATCCTTGATTAATAGAATTTAAACCTAACTGTAAGGAATAGTATATATCTTTTTGATAATCAAAACAGGAAAGCTTGTTCTTTAATTTCTACTACTCTACAGTATTTTTTTCATTCTAATCCAGAGAATACAGAAGCATGATACTGAAGGAATCAAAATGAATATATGTGGAACTTGTGGAAAAATGATGACTTTATGTTACAAGGAATGTTTTATGTTTTTAAAATATTATTAGAAACAAGAATTTTTGTTTTCATCGTCTATGAGAATAATACTCCCTTCGTCCCAATTTTTTTTTTGTCTTTTTTTTTTGAGAGGTCTCACAATTATTTTTTTTCTCTTTTGAATACCTAAAACTCTTATTTTTTATATTTTAAAATTATTTTTTATGATTTTCTTACTTTTTTATATTAAAAATCATAAGACTTTAATTTTATAAAAAAATTTTGAAATTTAATATTAAAAACATTAAAGTAAAAGGTTTTTTCATAAACTCTGTAAAAGTTAATAACACCCAAACAATTTGAGACAGAAGAGTATTTACTTTTTAAAAATAATTTATATGTACATATTAATATATATATATATACTATTTACTAGATTTTGACATTTGCGTAATTTTTATCTCTAAAAATTCATTTCAATAAATAATTTTTTTAATAATAATAATAACAATAATAATATTTTGATTTTGATTTTAATATAATATAAATAAAACTTGATAAGTTTTCATATAATTTTGGTTTCGGTATAATATAAATAAAATTTGATAACTTTTGATATAATTTTGATTTTGATAATTTTTTATAAAATTTTAATAACTTTCAATACAATTTTTATAATCATTAATAAAAATTTTTTAATCTCTTAATGTAATTTTAGTAATTAAACTTCTAGTAACTTATGATATATTTTTAGTACTCGTTGATAAAATTTGAATCATCCTATCTCTAACAACAGATTCCCGTAAGAAAATGTAGAATTAATTCTAGTATAAAATAATGTTTTATATAATAATAGTATTGTTTTATTCAAATTTAAAATTTTTTCACAAAATTTTTTATTTAATAGGTTCATGGTAGATTTTAGTCTCTCAAGATAAAATTTTCAATTTTGTTTTTGTTAGTAACTAAAGTTCAATTCTTAACAACTTTAAGTATAAAAAAATTATCAATGATTAGTAATTAAGTTATTATTAATTTATTATTATGTTATCAGCAATTTACTATTAAGTTATCAATGATATATTACTAAATTATTAATGATTTACTATTAAATCAGCATTGATTTATTATTAATTTATGAATGATTTATTACTAAGTTATAAATGATTTACTCTTAAATTGTTAATAATTTACTATCAAGTTATTGATGATTTGTTAATAAAGTTATAACTGATTTACTTTTAATTTATAGATGATTTATTACAATACTATCAATGATTAACTAAGTTACTATTAAATTATCACTAATTTATTATTAAATTATCAATAATTTACATATAAATTATTAATGATTTACTATTATGTTATTATGCATTTACTATTATGTTATCATTCATTTACTACTTAGTTTTTAATTATTTACTATAAAATCATTACATATTTATTACTAAATGAATCGTGATTCATTATTAAGCTATCATTAATTTATACTAAATTACAATAATTTAGTATTAAGTTATTTAAATATTAAGTTATTAATAATTTACTACTATTAAATTATATTAATTTACTTTTAAATTTCAATAATTAATTATTAAATTATCATTGATTTACTACTAAATTACCTATACTTTACTATTAAGTTTATCAATTAATTACTCCTAAACTGAAATTGATCTACTATTAAGTTATCATTAATTTACCATTAAATTATCATTGATTAACAACTAAATTATCACTTTTTTTTGTATTAACTTATCATTAATTTCCTAATATGTTATTATGCATTCAAAACTATGAAATATGGAATTAAAAAAGTTCACTAATAATATACGAGATAATTTTCTTTTTGTATAATAACATTATTATTTTATTTAAGTTTAGAATTTTTTTCATGAATTCTTTTTATTGAATAGGTTCATGATAGTTTTATCCTAGTCCTTAAAATGAAAGTTTTAACTTCATTTCTATTAGTAATCAAAGTTCAATTCCTATAAACTTTAAGTATAAAAAAAGTTATTAATGATTAACTATTAAGTTAACAACTAAATTATCACTTTTTTTTGTATTAACTTATCATTAATTTCCTAATATGTTATTATGCATTTAAAACTATGAAATATGGAATTAAAAAAGTTCACTAATAATATACGAGATAATTTTTTTTTGTATAATAACATTATTATTTTATTTAAGTTTAGAATTTTTTTCATGAATTCTTTTTATTAAATAGGTTCATGATAGTTTTATCCTAGTCCTTAAAATGAAAGTTTTAACTTCATTTCTACTAGTAATCAAAGTTCAATTCTTATCAACTTCAAGTATAAAAAAAGTTATTAATAATTAACTATTAAGTTATCAGTTATTTACTGCTAAGTTATCAAAAATTTAGTATTAAATTATCAATTATTTACTTTTAATTTATGAATAATTTGTCATTAAGTTATGAATGATTTCTTTTTTAAATTGTTAGTGATTTACTACTAAGTTATTGATGTTTTATGATAACGTTATAATTAATTTATTACTAATTTATCGATAATTCACTAAAAAGTTATCAATGATTATTTAACTTACTACTAAATTATTATTGATTTACAATAAAGTTACTAGTAATTTACTATTATGTTATTAGTGATTTATTGCTAAGTTATTAATTTACTAGGTTATCATTTATTTAATATTATATATTTATTATTAGGTTATCATTAATTTATTACTTAATTTTTTATTATTTATTACAAAATAATCACTAAATTATCTATGATTCATGATCAAGTAATTATTGATTTATATTAAATTATGTATGATTTATTATTAAGTTATAATTGATTAACTATTATGTTATAGATGATTCACTACTAAATTATATTAATTTACTTTTTAAGTTTTTAATGATTAACAACTAAATTATTATTTATTTAATACTATTTTATTATTAATTTATCACTGTCAATTAATTACTATTAAATTGAAACTGACTTACTATTAAATTATTATTAATTTACTATTAAGTTATCATTCATTTATTACTAAGTTATCAATAATTAATTACAAAATTATCACTTATTTTTTATTAAGTTATCCTTAATTTAATACTATACTATTATACAATTACAATTATATCGTAATTGATTTAGCATTAAGGTATTATGCATATATTATTATATTATTGTTGATTTACTAAAAAATATTAATTATTTATTACTAAATTATCATTTATTTTTATTATCACTAATTTACTACTAAATTGCTGATGATTATTACTGTGTTATACTAACTACATTTAAGTTTTCATTGATTAATTGCTTGTTTATTAATTATCTACTATTATATTAGCATTGATTTGTATATATCCAAAAGGAAAGTAATCACAATGTATTTAGATGATGTAATTTGTAAGGTAGAGAAAAAAAAAGAAGAAAAAGATCGAGTTTAAATGATTTAAAAAGCATGACTAAATGCTTTTAATTTACTATCTGTAGATTAACATGCAATAATAAGTTAAAATTATAATTTTTTATACTAATATAAATATTAAAACTAAATAAAATAAATATATATAATATATAATAAGTCAATCCAACTTGAAATTATAAAAAGTCAAAATTTAAAATGATTAAAATACTAAATACATAATTAAATAAAAATTTATCAAATGAATTTTACTAATAAATGCTTTTAAGTCACTTTTAAATTTAGTTAAATTATAATATATAATAAATTTTAAATTTAGATGTAAAGTGATAATTAATATGATAAATTTCAATTCTTTTAAACAAATATTACCTAATATAACAACCTCAAAAAATTTTATATAACAGTAAACATTTTTAATTGATATAAAAGGGAAAATAAATGAGTATATAATGTTTTTCCAAATAAAAGAGTTTGATATTAATCTTTAAAAAAATTTGAGATCAATGTATTTTTATATTTTATTAAAAAATCATATAGCATTAACCTACTTTGTCATATGAAGATAATAGAATTATGTATAACTAATCAAATTTTTATTTCATTTATAGAAGTGTTTAAATCAATCACTCTTAATATTTTTGGAGTTCATATTTTTATATATAAATAATATATTGTATTTGTGTTTCTGTGTCCACAAAGAGATTTAAGAAATAATTGCAAGAACAAATTGGGAGGGTATAGAATGGCATTAAAAATACCTGCAGATATCTTCTTCGAATTCTTTGGAAAGATGAAGGACAGAGATCAAGTAGATGAACCATAAATTTTGTGAGGAAAGTAGCTGAAATATAAAAGTGGGAAAATCAGTAGTGTTATAAAGGTGAAAATCTTATGTGTTAAGTTTCTGGAATTATCCCTAATGTTTTACTCAGCATATATGATTATTTTCAGCCAAATTATAAGAGAATAGAAACATTATAAAGAACGAACTAAAATAAATTATATATGGCTAACTTGTGGAAATTAATTAAGATTATGGATTTATTTTATAACGTGAGATTCAAAAAAATTAACATGAATCGAAAGATTAAAAACCACAAAAATTAATTAATTACCAGGTCAAGTGAGGCAATATTAAGCTGATGCTTCTCCTATCCTAAGAGGGTTTTGGTCAAATTTGTGAAAGAAGGAAATTAAGATCTTGCAAAATTCGTCATGAAAACAGAAAAATCAGATCTCTCTGCTTGCAAAATCCTCTATGAGAAGAGAATGAATTATGAAGCAAATGAATTATTAAATGGGTAAGTCAATGGAAGCCCTCTGCAGGAAACTAAAATATTATCAAACGCCCAACTTGTTTATTATTTTTGTTTTCTTTAGTTGTTTGACAAATTCAATGAGGTTTTTATATGTTTAATGTGGTGAAGCCAAATATAATATGACCTCTATATAAGATCAAAATACTTGGTTGACGAATCTAAAAATAAGGCTTAAATATAAAAAAAAAAATCTTGAACTAAAATTAAATTATCATTTAAGTTTTTTTTTTCTTTTATCGAATCTCCTGTTCAAATCTTAATCTCTTGTGAGAAGAGATGTTAATAGTAGTTAAGTCAATGCAACAAAGTCATTGCTGAGGTTTCCAGGGTAACTTCCATGAAACCTGATACAAAATGAAGGAAATAATGTGAATGGAATAAGACATGAGTTATTATTATTATTGTTATCATTGTTTTCTAATGGAAGCTATAATGACAGCTAAATAGTTGCTAACTCAGTCCTATTAAAAAGTACCCATTCTAACTATGAAATTTTGTTTGATCATTGACTTCCCCAATCCATCAGCTAGACTGAGAAGTAGGATAAAAACATTGATTTGTTTATCCCTGAATAACTGAAACTCATGATTCTGCCGAGATGTATATTGATTTCCTTAAAATTGTAAGCACTGTTATTAAAATAACATACCACGGAATGATTTTAAAGTGAAAATTTAAGAGCACAATCAAGGGGTCTTCACAAAAATCAAGTTCAAAAGCAAAATGGAATTTGCTTACGACTTCAAACAGGCAAGCAGAAATAATATAAAGTGTTCAAGAATTAGCAATGGACTCCAAAATGGAATTATCAAGCAAATAATCACATATAATCTGCTTAATGTGCTTTTCAAGTACAAATTAAAGCTAACTACTGAAATGAGCAAGCATTAGATGAAGTTCATCCGAGAAGACAGATTGAAGGGAGGTCAGTAATTGATCTTTGAGAATATTTATACCTACTCAGTATTTAATCCTTGTACAAAACTCGTTTCAAGCCTGTTCACAGCAATTTCTTTTCCCTCCTGTGAATACACTGAAAACTAATATCTGCCTGCAAATGTATCAGCTTCTGACTAGTTCTTGCAAATAGGAAAACCAATTGGTTTGGCGGAGGCAATGCACGCTCGCCACAGATGATCTGACATACATTTTGAGTGATCCAGACCAAATATGATGAACTCCAGGCTTTTGTTGGGGATGACTTGGTAGATCAGCATATTCTCCTCTCTTTGAATGCAACAACCTAACCAAGAAGCTTTACAAGACTACATTTCTAAGGCTAGGCAATCAAATTTTATCTTTATTTCTGAACTCATATGGTCCTTGTCCAGAACTCCTTGAAAGCTTCTTCATATTGATATCTTAATCATCAGCTATTGTAGCCCTGAAAAGTGAAAAGTAACATTTGCAGACGAGTGTGTTATTTATAGTAAAGCAACTGCTTTGTACTACTTGTCTGATTAATGTTGCATTATTTATTGGATACTAACATGATTTCAATGGAAGTGACATATGCTAATCTTGAGTAACTCTTTCATATAATCCTTTCTCATAATTATATTGTTTATTTACCTTCTGTACAAGTTCAGACTTCTGATCAACCTTCTCTAAGCTTCTTGTTGACCGAAAAGCTATTGTGGCAAGGTCCAACAGTGCAAGCTCCAAGTTTTCCTTACTATCCTCAATGTTCTGCTCTATCTCTCCAAAGTTTTCCTTCTCTGAAATAGAGGCAAATGCGCCACTTTAAGTATACAGTTTGAGTAATTTCTGAATTCTTCTCTCTTTGTTCTTCAATGACATATGCAATTTCTAGCAGACTCTACATTTCAAAAAAATTTCAAGAAATAGAATAGCTAAATGAACTCTACCTTGTAAACTTTTAGGATTTCGGATAGGTAATAGCCCACTTTCAGCATCCAGCAATTACAGCAAGGGAAATTATGGTTTTGATAGATAAATTAGATCATCAAACCACATCACAACTGCTACTTCCTTCTCTAATGTTTGAGCTTGAGTATGCCACTGCACCCCTTGAGATTCATACAGCTTGTTGTTGACTGAAACCAAAAAGCAAACACATAAATAAAAATAGATTATCAACAAAAAGAAGCTGAGAATTGAAAGCTTTGCGGTTTTATGAAGCAGGAGGGCATACCAGTTAGAGCAGTGTTGAATCAGTTTTAATCAAATTGCTCTACTCTGTCCCATTCTAATAACAGTTGTTATAAGAAACAAAGGTTGAAAGGACTGCGATATCATTAGGATTGTCCCATTCTAATGATTCCCACCATTCTCTTGGCCTTACAAAGATTCTTTTGAGAGAGGGGGGATGAGATGATTGCCCATTCTCAAGCTGGGGAAGAAACAAAGGGATCCTCCTTAGTTTAGGACATCCTGTTATTTGAAGACGCCGGAGAAAACCTGTAGGAATCATCACTCCACTACCACAAATGCTTTTCAATTTTGGTAAGCCGTGCAAGGACAATTCCCTTAACTTGGGAAGAACAAATGTTGTTATGTTGGAACCCCTTCTTTCTCCATTGTGATTCTCGTTCTCTTCCTCTTCTTCATCAGATGCTATTATTTTCTCCATTTCTTCACAATCTTCAAGCATCACTTCCTCCAAGTTTTGGAGGCCCTGCAACAGCTGAACTGAAAACAGCTCCTTCATCCTTGGACAATTTTTCAAATAAACTGCTTTAAGAGAAGAGAAGATGGCCGGATCAGCTGTCTGAGATGTAGATTGAACTGATGCTGCTACTCTCACAAGTTCAAGCAAGTTGCATAATTTTCCAAGGCTTAGCTTCTCAATGCTCTGACATGAGTTGCAAGGTGATAATGACAAATCAACCACGCACTCTATCCCTTCACACTCCCAAATGTAACAACTGTTCAAGCCATTTGCTTCATGGAGAAAAGAAATATTGCTTAAGCATTTGAGATCATCACACTTCTCAAAATAAAAACTATGCAGGTCAATTGGAAGCAGTATTGGGCCTGCTTTCATTATCTCACAATTAACAAAGTATACATTCTTAGAATTTTCAGGTTTCTCAAAAATGTTCTCCACCCCAAATAGTGTAGCATATCTAGGCAAAGATGATCCTACTGCACAAATGAAATTTGTAGGCCATATACCCTGTATAGACTTCGCATATGCCATAAACTCTTGCAAATCATAAAATAAGCAAGAAATAAATTCAAGCTTCATCAATCTGCCTAGTTCTTCTCCTTTTAAATGCAGCATCGTTGCCAAGTATTGGAGAGAAGAAAACATCGGCAGTATTCCTATTGGTAGCTGCTGTAGACCCCTTGATTGTAAACCAAGATATGTGAGGTTTACTAACATTTCCATGTCAGGAGGGACCTTGCTCAAACCTGTCTTATAGAGGTCCAACTTTTTCAATGCTCTTAGCCTTGCTAAAGAAGGCAGATATCTTAAGTTGTAACAACCTCGAAGTACCAGGGCATTAAGATTTTCCAGGTTAGAGATGGAATTGGGCAGATTCGAGATATTAGTATAAGAAAGATCAAGAACCTTTAGTCCATACATGTGAAGGAAGAAATTTTCTGGAATCATTTTATATCCCGGTGCTGGAAGCAAACCAAATCCCTCAAGTTGTTGCAATAACAAGGTTGACAAATTATGGCATTTCGGTGAAACGTGAGAAGGGATTTCCAAAATTGAATTATACATCAAGGAAACCTTCTCAAGATTCCCTGTCCATTCATGCTCAGCTGGTAGTTCCTTCAATTGTGTGCCAGTTTTCACATAGAATTGAGGACCAGCTCCTTTAATGAACAATGCCATGTCTCTTAAGACATCATGCATCTTAACACTTATCTCATAGCTTCCACCAATAACCCTCTCTAACAAGCAGTTATTTTCAAGCTTATTTAAAATACTATGGCCTCTGTCATACATTGCCCATCTAGTATCTGCATAAATCAGTCCCTCATCAATCCACTTTTCTATCAACTCTGTCCTTTTGATGGGATAATCTTCGGGATACAAGGAGCAATATACAAAACAATTCTGGATTTTTGGATCTCCCAAGCGATTATAACTAAACATCAAGCACTCAAATATTTCAGTATCCACTCCTTTCATACTTTTCACCCGTTGACATAATTCATTTAGTGCATTCCTCCACTCACAAATATCATCCACCCCCTTCATGCTACCGGCTATTGTTACAATAGCAAGTGGTAAACCACCACATTTCTCAACGATTTGTTTCACAATTTCTTTTAAAGCCGGATGTTGTACTACACTTTGCCCCACATGATTTAGGAATAATTCCATGGATTCCTCACTTGAAAGAGGTTGCACTTTGACCACTTCACAACTCATAGATCTACAGACCTCAATGGATCTGCTAGTGAGTACTACTTTCATCCCCTTACCTAATATCGGTTCAGGGATTCCAACATCTGATAAAGAAAACTTTTTCCAAACATCGTCTAAGATCAACACATATCTCTTTCCCTCCAAAGAATCCTTCAATATTGTTGCTCGTTCCAGTTCATTTGTTGGGAGAGACTGTTTCATAGAATTTGCAATATCTTCTTGTATTTTGAAGATATTCAAATCTTTTGATACAGTGACCCATATCACTTTATCAAATAGAGCCTCCTCCAACAATTGATTATTGATATGCTTCATGATGGTAGTTTTTCCTATGCCACCCATTCCACACACTCCGATCATCCCAACCTCATCACCCATCAAACACTCCCAAATTTGTTCTTTCACATCAATTTCACCTTCTAGCTTTGGAGTTGTTAATGTCACCCCAGGGGCTGGAGGGCCATCAACCGCCACACCTTCAGGGAAACTGCCTTGTTGGTGAATTTCCTTGACTTCTTCAATCTTTCGACAAACAGATTTTGCCAGGCGGCCACGTAACAAGTATGAAACAGCATGAAACTTCTTTTCAATCCTTTCCATTTCAGTGTTCATCCTTTCTACTTCTTCAAACCATTTCTCCACTTCTTTCTTCACCACTTTTCTGCGACGAATCTCTGCTTCCTTTCTTAATTCCAGGTCCTGCTTTCGAATATTCAAGTCATTCACTTTTCTTCTTAGATCATTCACATTTTCTTCAAGTTTTCGGTGCTGGTCTATATAGTTACATGTTGAACCCCCAAAGCACTTTATCACTTGAAAAATTGGCCCTAGAAACTCCATATATGAAAGCTACTCCCTGTAGTTCAAAATCCAACGTATAAATATAATTTTATCTTCATATGATATGAGATACAAAATTCTACATTTTCATAATACTATATTATATATGGAACATGTAACAAGAAAATGTTACTAAATCTCAAAATTTTACTCATTTGGCCCCTGAACTATTATCATTTTTCTAATATGATACTTAAACTAATAAAATTTTTAATCAGATCCCTAAACTTCGTTTTTGTATATCAATGAAATCCATGATTTAACACCGTTAAACAAATTGCTGAATTGGCATCTTAACAAATTAAAATCAGACAAATTGACAAAAAGTAACATATATATATTTTTTATACTTTGATAACATGTTTATGCCTCCATGTCTTTTTTTACCTTTTGTTAAATAAAAAGAGAAAAAAACACAAAACAAAAAAAATATTATAAATTAAAACCTATAAACTAATAAATATCAAAATGCCAATACTCCCAACAAACAAACAAAACTCAAAATCCTTTATCTCTTTATGCTGCCAAAAAGATAAGGAAATTTTTTTGAAGACCTTTATCCCAGAATCGAAATAAGAATTAGCATGAATCCCCTGTAGTTGTTTAATAAATGGCTTGTTAAAAAGATAAAGAAAAACAGGTGAGAGAGATGATATAGAAGCCAATTTACTTGGTAGATTATATCCAGAATCGAGAGAAGAAAGCAACCCATTGAAAGCTGTCCAGTCAGACCCTTGTGGCACGTCTTGGATTTCGAATCTCCGCGATCTCACTCCCCTAGAAATTTTCTTTACTCATTTAGTTTTAGCAATATTTGTTCCCTTTTTTCTTCTTGCCCACTTAGTGGGAAAAGATTGCACCCCACAGCACCAGTGATGACAAAGGTGGCGGCAGCGGTGGTGAGGAGGGATGGAACCAGTGGTGACGTTTTTGGGGGCAGAGACCCTGACAAAGATTTCTTGCCCAGGAGAAAGACAATGAAGTGGTGGTGGTGGCGGCAACATTGACAGTGGAGGTGGGCTAAGTCTCTCCCTTTTCATGGGCATCTACATAAGCTTGGTAGGGATTTGGTTTGTACTTTGAGAATTTTTGGTTTGAACTTTGTTTAATGGTTCTCCGAGTTGTTTCAAGCAGGGGTGAGAAAAAAAGGTTAGAAAAAGCTGCAGATCGATTTAAGATCGCAATGGTTTTCTTTTTTTTTTTTTTGTTTAAATTAAATTCGAATATTAATTATATATATTAAGTTTAAATCAAATTTTAAATTAAAAAAAATTAAATTGAATTAAATTATATATTTTTTTAATTTTTATATATTTTTAAAATTTTTATAAAATAAAAATAATAAATTTATATTAAAATAATATAAAAATTAAAAATTTTAAATTTAAAAATCGATAAATCAAATTTAACCAATAAAATTTAATTCACTATGATTCGATTGAACAAATAATCAATTTAAATTCGAATTTAATTTTAAAATTTTATAATATTATATAATATTTAAAATAATTTAATTTAATTTAAACCGTTATCCTAAAAATTTCAAGATTTAAACTTTTTTAGAAAAGAAAAATGCTTGGTGTAGACATGTCAAACCATGTAAAAAAAGATAGGGCAATTTTTTTTAACATTTGTCAATTTTTAATTTGCTAAAAGCCATGTAAGAATTTTTTTTAACGGAAATAGATATTGGAGTATAATGTTACACGAAAATTAACATAAAATACCTAATTAAAATATATTTTTGTTTAGATATTACATTAAAAAATATAATAATTTAAAGGTTATTTAAGATATTATCCCTTCTTCTAAAGAAAAAAAAAAAAAAAGAAAAGCAAAAATAAAATTTGTAATATCTCATTGTGGTACAAAATCCTTAAACTTCTAGATAAAAAGGATAGTAACTCATAAATTGATATGAATTTCTATAGATATATCTCAAGAAAAGTCATTTAAGAAATAATTTCAAGAACAAATTGAGAGAGTAGAAGCACATGGTTTGTTCTTCAAATTATTTGGAAAGATGAAGCACAAAGACTAATTGTGTGAATGAACCACAAATTAATCCCCATAGCTCCTTCTATAAGTACAGTTTTTTTTTTTTTTGTGGAAAATTATCTTACATTAAAGAGGTAAAATCTATAGTACTGTTACAAAGATTAGGTCTTATGTGCTAAAGTTTTTGGAATTATTTCCTAATTTTTGCTCTGTGATTATTTAAAGCGTAATGAAGAGAATAGAAGCATGACAAATAAATATTATGAGAAACCTGAGAAATATTTAGAGATGATGAATTTATGTTATAAGGTAAGATTCTCATCAAAGAACATAAAACCCAAGATTAAAAATCATAATATAAAAGTATTAGACAGTTTTAATAAATTACCTGGTCAAGTTGTGCAATAAGCTGGTACTTCTCCTATCCTTAGAGGGGGGGTGTTGTTCAAAAATTAAGATCTTCTTGCAAAACTTGTCAAGAAAACATCAACAGGCAGATCTCCCTGCAAATTATCCTTTATGAGAAGAGAATGAATTCACAAGAAGATGAATTATTGGTGGGCAATTACTCAATGCAAGTCCTCACCAGGAAACTAAAATAAGATAAATACACAACTTTGTTTAGTAATATTTTTTTTCTCTCTCTCAATTCAATGAGTATTTTATTATTATTATTTTTTTTTATTTTTAATGTGGTGGAGGCAATTATGGCCTCTAGATAAGATCAAAATACATAGTTGAGGAATCTAAAAAATAAACAAATACCATATGGCCTTTGCTATGGATTAGACTAAAATAAATAAAATTCAAATCCCAAGTTTAAAAACTATATATGTAGTATTAATTATGTAAAGCTCAAGTTTTTCTTCAATACCATTAAGGTGGTTGTAGTTCATTTTTCCAGGTTTCAGCTTTAAGGGATTTTGTTTCAGTATCCAAACCAGGTCATTCGCTTCCAAGATTAAGCTGTCAGCTACTTAATTATTGGATTTAAGTAAAGAATTACAAATTTCAATGGTTCATGGTACTTCATTCATATGTCAACTTCCCAGCTGGTTGTTATATTTTAATGGGGTTCGCGGTTCATGATCATTCATTCACACATATATGTCAAATTTCTAAGCAACATTATTTTTTTAATAGAGGTTTTCATATTTTAATGGGATCAAGATAATAATGATCTCAAGCAGAGTAATCTGTCTGAGACTCTGAGCTGTAATTTGGTTCATCTTAACAAATACTAATTGACTTTTGGAACTGCAACATGTTTGAGGGATCTAAAAGTTAGAATTAACAAAATGAAGTCCAAGTTGTGAAAACCTGTATCTTCTACGTGACAGGTGCCAATTCTTGCTTATTAGCCATTTCATATGACTATAAGAAAAAGAAGGGGAAAACAGAAATTCAACGAAAAATGATAAATTGTTGAAGAAACAAGAATTATCATCACATTTCTTCAAGCACAGAACCTTGAGATTCATTAATTCTTTCCTGTTGACCAGTCAAATGATTATCAGTTATCTATTGGGGCATTTGACCCTATTAAACTTTAGCTTATGACAAGAAATCAGAAATTCTAAGCCTGATCTCGACCGCTTCAGTTTACAACTCTGAACCAGATTAGGCTATAGGATAGTCTTCCTCTAAGGTGTAAAAGCTTTGGGAAAAAGTTTTGAACATTGTGTCTATATATGCTCGGCTCTTACAAACATTGGCATCTGCAACACTATTGTTGATTCATTTATCACACAGATTCGGAGAAAGCGGACTTATCATGCATTATTATTATTATTATTATTATTATTTAAACTGAGAAAATTTGATGGTTCTTGATCTTGCACTAATGCAGCACAAAACAAGTACAGTCAACAACTTATAAATGATGAGATCGTAGGGAATTCGTTTATCTTAATTATATGAAGATTCAATTTTTTCTTTCAGTCTACCAGTCCATGAAATAAGAACACTACTATTTATACTTGAATATTCTCACCAGTAGGCATTTGCACAAAACAAACAGATGCCCCAAGTTGCGGGTGGGACTGATATCCTTAGTGATAGTTTGGAGCTTAACAGATAAAATGAAGCATACAACCCTCTATCGAGCCTCTAACAGAGATATACTTATTTCGTTTCTTGACAATGATCCATCATTGCCAGATGAAGCATCTACTTCAACGGGTTTCTTGTAAAACAAAAAACCAGGTTGTCTAGGCTGAGGCAATTCATTTTCACTTCCCAACATCAGAACCACGGATGACATGGTTGGTCTTCCATCAGGATGCTGTTGTACACATAAAAGGCTAATGTGGATGCACCGTAATACCTCAGATAGATTGCCAGAAGTCTCTACTATGAAATCATCAGCAAGATCCAAAGGCCTGCCTTCTTTCCATAATCTCCATGCCTGCAGCAAAATGAAACTCTTTTAGCATTAGTTCAAGATAGGTAACAGAATATAATGACAACAATATCTGCAGAAGCTTACATGTTCAATAAGGTTGCCGCTGTAATTTCGATCATAAAACCCTCTACTCTTTCTTCCACTTATTATCTCCAACAATAATATACCAAAGCTAAAAACATCTGATTTTACAGAAAACAGCCCATCGATAGCATATTCGGGTGCCATATAACCACTGCAGGACATTGTCAGAGAAAAATAAGCATTTTTATGAGGATTTATAGATAAAATTATCTTGCATAAAAGTAACTTACTAAGTTCCAACCACTCTGTTTGTATTGGCTTCAGTCTGGTCTCCTCCAAAAGTTCTTGCCATTCCAAAATCTGAAATTTTCGGGTTCATCTCACTATCAAGCAGAACATTACTGGCTTTTAGATCTCTGTGAATAATCCTCAATCTGGAATCATGATGAAGGTAGAGCAGTCCCCTAGAAATCCCGCAGATAATTTGGAAGCGCTTGGACCAATTTAGTACTTTGCGTCTTTTTTGATCTGGCAAATACGCATTCATGTTAATCACACATCCTTTTTTTAGAACATATAATTTGCGAGGTTTGTAATCATTTCAGACCAAAAATGAATGAGTCAAGGCTTCTGTTAGGCATGTATTCGTAAACCAGCATTCTTTCATCTCCTTGAATGCAGCATCCAAGAAGCCTGACAAGATTCCGATGCTGAAGTTTGGCAATCAACTTCACTTCATTCTTAAATTCGTTCAGTCCTTGTCCAGAACTCTTTGAAAGTCTCTTCACAGCAATTTCTTGTCCATTTGCTAGTGTCCCCTGGAAAATCAAAACATTTCGCGTGAGCATACGATAAATATGAATTCTCTGTACTTAAGATCACTTCACTAATATGCAGCAACTTTTACCTTATAAACAGGTCCAAAACCTCCTTCACCTATCTTGTTATTTAAAGAAAAATTATCAGTTGCTTGGGCTATTGTACCAAACTCAAATACTGCAAGATCCATATCTTCATTCTGGCCTTCGTTCTCTTTATCATTTACATTCCTGTCTTCTAGTTCATCTGAAAACAGTATAAAATATGGACTAGCAATTCCCATGAATATGCTTGCCTCTTATCTATATTGGTTGATTTAGATAGAAGTATGAAATCTCAAAGCTAGGAGCAAAATGATTTTGGTGTTTGTAACAAAGAACAAAATGAGTACATTTATGAGGACCATAACTAGTGTTACCTTTCAACTTTTTCCTGCGTTTGTGAATGTAACAAGCAACTATAAGAAGTCCCAAAAGCATAGCAATTACTGTTGTAATAATAACTGGAAGCTTCACCTTAGGATTTTTACTGAGATCTGCATGGTCAATTTTGATGCAGTACAAATATAATCAAACAAAAGCCAAAAGACAATATCACAAGCTATAGCAAGAATATGTTCTAGTTTTGTATTCTGTACTGTCAACTAATGTCTAAAACTGAGTTCAATATATAACCTCAATAACACATCCAATTACCTCATATGAAGTACTTTAAATGAGAAATGGAGATGAAACAAAAGCAGAACTAGTACCTGCTTCTGAAGCAGACATTCTGATGTAAAGATCCTGACCATCTGATTGAAATTGTTTGATATCCATTAGATCACCAAACCACATAGCGCAGCCGCTGCCTCCATTTCTAATATCTAAATTAGTGTATGCCATACAAGAACAGTTCTGCAAGCACCTAGCCCTACATTTCTTGAGATTCATAGTTTTGT